TTTCACACTCCTTGATCAAGTATCCAGTTTCAATCTGAACTGCGTTGATGACTGGCTCAACACTGATAGTCTCAGCCTTCAGATCAGGGAAGCAGGACAGGTCGACAAAAGGTGGCATGGACGCTTCATTTGTTGGCATGTAGTCGTGACTGTATCTGACTGGCCAGACAAAACCATTGTGGTCTTTGGAGTTGAACAACCCTAATGGAAGATTAGTTTCATCTAAGGTATACGACACGTAGAGCTAACCAAGGTCAATGTCTTGCTTCGCTTCCATCATGACGATCCGTTCAAGAGTAGAGAAGGGAGTAGAGTTCAGGCCGTTGTCTTTGTGCGAATACAGACAATAAATACCTTCATATACGCCTCTTAACCAGGCGCCATTGTTGTAAAGCAGGGGTACTTCTTACGTCCACGTCAGCAGCATAGTCGTGTTCAATCACCTTTGCAATCTTTCCTTAAACGTCCACAGCAAAACCGAAGCTATTCCGTTTCTTTTCATTGCCGCATATAATCATCAAAAGCCTATTGGTTACTGGCGATCCTTAGATAAAGGCGGCGAGCGTCATCAGAATCTCTTGGGCTTCCCACTCCATCCACCACAATGTAGAAATCAGAACTCCCAGCATGCTTTCAGGTAATAATGGAATCTCGGGACTGAATAACCCAAGAGTCCATCGAGCTTCTCTGAAAAGAGATCATCTTTTGTACATGTTCTTCTAGCGATGTTGTAATGTTGAGTTGTGGGGGTGTTGAGTTTTGTGGGTATTAATTACAAGGGCACAATTAGTCCTATGAATCATGTATTATGGCACATCACTCACAGAGGTACGATAAAAGACGCTATCCTGAGAGCGACCCTGAAGCGGCAATATGAGACCCACGCCTGCATCTGGCCGTGCGTTGAACAGGCATCGTCGGAGGGTTGTCGCGCTGCACTGTTGTGATGTGGAGCCCTTGACAGCTCAGCGCGGTACGGGCGGAGCGTGTGGGCGGAACGGCAAATAGCTAACGATAGCCAGCGACGACAGCTATCAACAGGCCACCCCCAACGCTGCATACAGCTCCCATCGCCGACATGCCACCGCCTGCTTTCTCAGCCTACAATTTGCCTTGCGATGCACCTCACGTGCGATGGTGCTTGACGTTGCGTACACCACCTCGCGCCATCTAGTCACCCACCCAGAATAACACACATGCGAAGGACTCGGCACATGACCAAAAAGAGGGCAATTTGTGGACCTGCATCAACGCATGTGGTCTGTGTACCCGCACCTTCTACGGTTCCTCTCAGCCCACTACCGTGACATGTCGCTGCAATGAGATTATCGTCCAGGATTGATTGTACTCTTGAAGAGGAAGTTGATTGTAGCTTGTATTCCTGACGATTTGGGATAGGAGGCTGAGGCCATGTAGATGGGTTGTGCTGTTTGACTGTACGTGGAGGCGACGGGGAAAGAATGTGATAAGGTGAAGTCATGCAATATTATCGATTTGGATGCATGTAGAAGATTGCATACATGTACATGTACAAGTGAGTGATGGCATGGTACTTTATCTTCAATTCCAACTACAATCTCTCGCACTACGTACACCGCCGCATACAAAGGCTGTTGTTTATTCCAAGGCCTGAACTGTCCAACATCGTCTTCTTCTACCCAGCAAATAATGCCAATCTCCGACGCCGAGACAACCGCTTCAGGAAACACGCTAAACACCTCAACCCAAGCACCTGCAGAAGCTACCTCAGCTGCTCAATCAGTCGCGTCGTCAATTGCATCCGAGGCCTTTTCTTCGGCGTTGTCGTCTGCTGCGAGTAGCATCTCTGAGAGAGTGGCTGAGAGTCCGAGTGCGAGTCCGACGGAAGGTGCTGCGGCGCCTACGAAAGGTGTGTTGATGTTGATTGAGAGGATTGAGAGGATTGACGGCCCGGGGATATATGCTAATCTGCCTGAGTAGATGCGCAGTTTGCTGCTGTGATTGGGGGGTTGGCTGTCGCTGCTGGGTGGTTTGTTTGAGAAGGAAAGAAGGACAAGACAGAGTCGGGAGCGAGACGTCGCTAGCAACATACACCTAGGCGAAAAGGCTTGATCACTCTGGAATCAACTACACGTCATGTCGCGTTTGTTTCGTACGTACGACATGGTGTCATCACATCGACATCAAACAGCCTTCACGGTGACACGCCATGTATTTGAAATCAGGAAAGCAACAAAGTTGCCATTCATAACCCATGGTCTAAACCTTGTGTCTAGGTAACCCATCGTCTATACTGCGCATCTCAAAACCCGGCACCATTAAGCCAGGTCGATTCCATATCCATCAAATCATAATCGTTAAAATCCAAAAACATTTCGAAACGCTTTTTCTCATGTCTACAACTGTGTCAGAAGACCCTGGCTCTCCAAGAGCAGGACAATCTGGTGAACGGCCGTCCTGACGTTGGTAGTCGACAGGTCGACAGTCAGGTCAGCGTTGGCGGGCACCTCGTATGGGTCGTCGACACCAGTGAAACCCTTGATCTCACCGGCGCGCGCCTTGGCGTATACACCCCGCTTGTCGGTCTTCTCCGCATGCTCGAGCGGGGTAGAAACGTGGATCAGGTAGAAGGATCCGTATCGCTCTACCGTTTGGCGGGCTGCCTTTCTTGAGTCCTCGAAAGGAGCAATGGGCGCAACGATGGCTGCTGCACCAGCCTTGGTGAGCTCGGCGGCTACAAAGGAGATGCGGGCAATGTTCTTGTCACGGTCGGATCGGCTGAAGCCCAGCTCGCTGGAGAGCTCACTGCGGATGGTGTCACCGAGAAGGAGCGAGACGGAGCGACCACCCTGCTGGTTGAGGGTGACGTTGAGAGCGCGCGCGATGGCGTCCTTGCCGGAGTTCTGGTAACCTGTCAGGAAGACAGTGAAACCCTGTTGGCTGCGGGGAGGGTGGGATTCGCGGAGGACGCGAACGACTTCGGGGTACGAGAACCATTCGGGGATCTCCTGGCCGGTTCGGAGGCGCTTGCGGAGCTCTGTTCACAATGTTAGTTTCCAAACCCTAAATGAAGGAAATGCAATTGACGTACCAGTTCCGGAGATGTCGAGGGTCTTGATGCCCTGCTCAACCTCGTTCTTGGGCTTGTACTCGTCCGAGTCGGGAAGGTAGGTCATCTGGAGGAAGGGAACAACCTCGATGCCGAGCTCGTCCCTGTACTTCTCGACGGCGTCCTGGGCGTCGTATGGACCGTAGAAGTCGACACCCTTGGAGTTCTTGCCTGGGCCAGCGTGGTCACGGCCGACAATGAAGTGGGTGGCACCATGGTTCTTGCGGATGATGGCGTGCCAGATGGCCTCGCGGGGACCAGCCATGCGCATAGCCAGAGGCAGAAGAGCAAGGACAGCCATGCCGTTGGGGTAGCGGGGCATCAGCGCCTGGTAGACACGGACACGGGTGAAGTGGTCAATGTCACCGGGCTTGGTCAGGCCAACGACGGGGTGGATGAGGACGTTGGCCTGGCGAGCGCGGGCAGCGCGGACGGTGAGCTCACGGTGAGCGCGGTGCATGGGGTTCCTCGTCTGGAAAGCGACGACCTTGGACCAGCCAAGCTTGTCGAAGTGCAGACGCAGCTCCGCGGGGGTGTATCGGAGGCCGACATAGTCGTAGTGCTCCAGGCGGTCGATGGCCTCGAGCTTGCCGCCGACGTAGTACTCCTTGACCGTCTCGTAGAGGTACTTGATGGCGGGGTGTGCTACGTCGTTGTCCTTGTCGAAGACCTCGCGGGCCTCCTTCTCCTTGTCCGGCTGGTAGACATCGTCGACGGTGATGATGGCCAGGTTGCGGTCGTCGCGGAAGTCGCGCAGGGCGATGCGGGCGCCTTGCTTGACGCCGACCTCATCGATGGTCTGTTTCGAGATGTCGAGTGTGATGGGAATGGAGAAGAGGTTGCCGTCGGCGAGACGGTTGTCGGACACTACGCCGTCGTAGTCCTTCTGGTTCATGAAACCTGCATCATGCTGTCAGGGGCCGTGCTGCTGCAAACATCGCAAACACGAGGGGCGCCTTCGCTGCCCCTCGCCTAGCGCTGCGGGATGACGACTTACCCTCCAGAGGTGAAAAACCTCCGTTCAGGATGAGCTCCAAGTCGCAGAGCTGCCTCTCGGACAGAACAATAGCCGGAAGCTTCTCAGCTTCTTCGAACAGTTCCTTGCGTCGGGGCGCATCGCGTGCGATCAGGTCCTTGAGGACGCCGCCTGTTGTCCCCTCCGTCAGCATTCGTGACCAACTCCAGCGACTCTGTTGATCAACTCACCATGGGGTGCGTTCGCCATGTCTAAAGAATATGTGAGGAATATAGAATCCGGTGGTGGATCTGGTCAGGTAGTTCGGCGAAGACTTGATGTCGTTCCTGACTATACAAGACTGGCTTCGCGAAGGAGGTTTTGGGTCACTCAGACAGAAAGATGCGCGACTAAGGACTACAAGGCGGGACGGGTGGAAAGGGCTTTTTATTCCCCGGGTTCTACGGACACTTCAGGCGCCATGTCCCCGATTGTTGACCATAGGCTTCTCTGGATTTTCTCTGCTTGCAGAGACTAGGGCACAAAGCGGGTTGTTGTATGGGTCGGCAGATCTTGGAAGCGATTGCGCAATTGCACGCGATAGTTAGAGCCTGTCTCACCCGGCTTTTCGTTGGGCGACGCGACCACAGTGACGTGAGCGGAGCGGAGAAGGAGCAACTTGTCCTGCAGTTTGTGTTGCGCTTTAGCGATTTTCAGGAACACCTCACGTATATGACAGGTCTAGCGCAATGCTGGAAATTCGTTTGATTCATGCGGGAGCTTCATTGGCTCCTGCGTCGGTGGTATCTCGGCCCCGTATATACATAATCGGATGCGACTGCCGCAAACCCCATTCTTTCGTGACCCAAACCCCATGCTATGCCATGTCCCATAAATAACCCAAACGCCCATGCTAATGCGGTACAACAAGTAGGAACCAAGATATCCTACATCACCCTAAACGTTTAAAGAGACTTGTTGCAGCTTGTTGGCTAGGTCCTCGTTTTGCTGCTTCATCGCCTGCTCTTGGAGGAACTGAGCATATCGCGACTTGGGGTTGTGGATGCCGCACTCGGACTTGTTCTTGCCCTTCCAGCGTCCTGCTCGCTCGTCCTCTCCAGCAGCTACTGGCTGTGTAGAGTGCCAGTCACCGACACTCTTGTAACCCTGGTTGAGAAGGTCGTTGTATGGGACGTCGTTGGCGTCGACGTATTCCTTGACCTGGGCAAAGTTCCAGTTGGCGAGAGGGTTGATCTTGATGAGCCCGGCCTCGTCGACCTCGATGATGTCCAGATCTCCACGCTTGCCACCTTGGCTACGTCGGCGACCAGTCAAGACAGCCTTGACCTGAAGTTCAGAGTAGGCACGCTCAGCAGGCTCCACCTTGGCAACGTAGTCGTAAAGTTCGTCGTTGGTGTCCCACAGCTTGTCACCGTGCTTGGCAGTAAAGTCGTTGACGTTGTCGCAGCCAGCAGGCTTGTAGACGTGTACCGGTGTTCCGTATCGCCTCCTTACCCGGTCAACAAGGGCATAGGTTTCGTCAAAGTGGTAGAGAGTGTCGAGGAAGATCAAGTCGATGTTGTGCTTCAAAGGTCCATCGAGCTTCGAGAGCATGTCTACTGTGACCAGGCCAGTAAGACCAAAGGCTGTGGTCTGGAATAGTCCAGGCAGAGATGTGATGCACCATCGGAGGATGTCTACTCCAAGTTAGTTTAAGAAACTTTCAGGAATAAAGTGCCATCACGTACCTTGAGGCTCAAGCTTCTGGAGCTGCGCGTTGATAAACTTCAAATGAGGCTTCGTGAAGTAGATCTCAGGTAGGCTCTCCTGACTGGATTCGGCTGAAGCATAGCCAGATTCCTCGCGGAGTGTAGGCTGCTTGTAGGTGTCAACCTTTGCGAACAATGGTGACGACATCTTCAAGATCGTGTGGCGGAAGTTTGGGGTATGGCAGGCACGTGCGGAGAAGCCAGAAGGAGTATGTCTTTGTGGGTTGGTGTCTAAATGGAGGTTTCCCAGGAGAAACTACTATTATCAATCGTTTGAGTCTGGAGGTGGGAAGAGGGAGAGCGACCACGGCCTGGAGTATATATTGGGCGCCGCCATCGGGATCGCTTTGTAACCATCTCCGCAAGGTGCGATAGCTGGGGGTGAAGACGTGCGATCACGCAATTCGCGCTAGTACATGGTGGAGCAAAACTCTTCCTCCCAGCCTTATGTAAGGCAGTCTCGCCAATCATCCGGCGGCAGTAGACGTTTTGCTACTTCTGAGGCTCGGACGACGTCTATGCTCATGCACTCCGCGGCTGTGCGTTGGTTGGAAATCGCCCGATGGTTTGAGGTTTTGTCATCAACGTCATCCCGTGGACGATTACCGAACAATGCGAATGGCTGAAGTCATGGTGATCTGGCTCTGGCTGACGGACTAGACGGACGGACGGACTGCCTAATCATGGGCTGAGGAATGCCATGTCGTCTCATCTTGACTTTCTCTTGATGTTTGCCTCTGCTGGCAATATGGAGTTGGTGGAGTGCCCCGGCCCATCGGCAAGCGCCGGGCGATCGCGTCCGGGGCCTCGCCCAGAAGACTTGTAACACGCATCAGGATTCTCTGTTAAACCATCGGTTAGTGTGAGTCGTTGTGGAACGTCAGGCATATTTACCTATAGCTGTCCATGCTTGAGGCTGAACAATTTTTCTAGCCTCCTGCACGACTCGGTGCACCTTATACTCGTGGGGCGCGAGATCCGTCGTCCTGATTTCCGCATCTGCAACAAGCATGTTGCTTTTGGTGGGCAATCATGTCGCGCGATTCCCGCCTGGGCGCTTCGTGATAATCTTATGTCGTGTTGTCGGTGCTGTTGTTGTCGTGAATGGTGGCGGATGTCATCGGCGGGGTCGAAGGTCGTCTGTCGCACTAAATCGCCGCAGCTAACCGGCATGGTCTACAACTCTATATCAATTGGATGGAGTTTATTACCGCAATCAACGAATCACCTCATACAAGGAAAAAACTGAACAGGTCTAGAGCCTACATTAACACCAAGTCATCTATCTTGTAGGGTTTTAAGTTCATGTAGGCTGCAGGCCTGTTCAGTTTTTTTCTTGGTTGGCGTGGAATCGTTCTTGATTTTTGTGCAAGCACCATGTCCGAATTCAAGGGTCTTCTCCCATGGATGCGCGAAGATTGAGAACGTACGCCGAAACCATGCGATTGATAGCAACGATGTACTGGTGAGCTTCAACACTGTCGCGCAATTTCGGGAAGGGTGCATAACTGCAGCTGCTGAGGTGTAGGTGGAGTACGTGACCGAAGAATTCCATGGAGAGAAGGTGCGAATTGCACAGAGAAGTAGTCGAGAGCTTCGAGGATGACCGAAGAGTTGTGGTACATTGAGCGAAGCAGCTGGGTGGCGGATAGATCAACACTCATAACATCCTAAGCAACGTTAGCAACCGTCTCGTACTCTGAGGCCGCCATGATGAATGCGAGAAGGGTGAGAGGGTATGAGAAGGCAGAAAGAACGAAGCGGGGTTGAGATGTGTCAGACATACCTGAGAACGGCAGTGACGACTTCGTCGTTGCCAAACAGACGTTGTGGAAGGCGCACACCAGTCGAGGCAGTCTCGACCAAGCTCCACATTTGATACGTTCATTGGAGCACAAAACAGTCACTATTTGGTTATCGAGGCAGAATATAGAAAGGGGAAGACTGTCATCACTCTACTCTTCCATAGCATCCAACACGGCAATCTTCCCTCTCCACAACTCCTTCGCATTCCCCCAAAACACCTTCTCCTTCTCCTCAAACCTTAATTCTCCCGCCCATGCCAACCCATCAATATTAGCATCCACATCCCAAAACCCGATGCCATACGGATAATCCGTGCCAAACACCATCTGACTAATTGGAATTCCCATTCCTTCCGTCAGCCCTTTGACCTGATTGGGCCACACTGGTCCTGCACTATCGTACCAAAAGCGCGTTTTGTAGGCTTCCCTTGCTGCAGTCGAGATGTTGGGGAAGCCGAGAAGGAAACGCTCGGAGATATCGGGGAAAGCGCCTGCGCCGTGGGAGATGCGGAAATGGAGGGACGGGAACTTTAGGAATGTGGATGAGGCTGTTAGACTGGAGATGGCGCGCGCAGTTTCGAAGTAGAATTCTCCGAGACCGGAGCGAAGGGGTGCTGTGGCATGTTGTCAGCTCGCTCTAGCTCTTGGTCGTTTGTGAGCCTGAGTTTGGGAAAAGAGAACTCACATGGTCGAGAATTTATCAATCGGCCATCGTCGAGCTTGATGGTGGGCTCCGTTGGGTGCACAAAGACTACCTCCCTCCCATCGCCTCCCATTTTTCCGGATTTCTCTTGTAGAAACTTCCACAATGGATCGAAAGTCTCGTCCCCCGGGTACATGCCCTCGTGGTTTGTTAGCACACCAACACCCACTGGCTGTTTCCCCACCATTCCAAACACGCGCTTCAACTCCGTGATCGATTCTTCCACATGGGGTAGCGGCATAATGGCCAACCAACTAAATTTCTCTGGATAGATCCTGCAAAGTTCCGCTGTGAAGGAGTTGAGTAAACGCGCAAGGGCAACTGTCTTCTTCTTTCTCAGCTCTTCGTCTCGTTCAGTCAAGAAGGCGTTAGCCTGGGGTGTGGAGACGCAGAGTACAGAATGAGCGACGTGGTGTTCACTCATGAATTTGAGGTGGGATGATACGTTCCAAGACGGCGTTGCGCGGCCTGCAGCGTTCAATTCGAGGGCTCGGAACCAGTCTGGGATGGGGCTATGAGATTTGTCAGTACATAGGCACACATACGTGCGTCTTTGTTATTGTGTTGTGTAGCATTTGAGCTTACTGTGTATGCGTATCGACTCTCTTCGAGGTTGAGAAGTCAAATTCCTTCACATTCACCATGCTACTCGCTAGCAAAGCGATGCTCGCAATAGCTTCTTTGGCAAAAGGTAATACTGTTAGGTCGATGCCATCTTTATATGCTTCATATTGTATCTGCATCCATAGTTTGTTCTCGTCATGTTGTGTACCATTCGAGGGCGTTGAGTATGGCTTGCCGTAGGGATACGCCTTTGTCACGTTAGTATGTCTTGTTCAGTGACAGCATTGTAGCACCAGATAACTCTTCTTCCACTTTGAAGCACTCACCATTCTTTCGCTAGACGACATTCTGATATGAGGGAAGATGGTGACGATGCTTGCAGCTGTGGTTAGAGTCGAGATATAGACTGCTCCACATGTCAGTAAAGATAAGGAAGGGATTCGCATATTTGACAGCTGTAGCTCACTCACAGTCTCGCAAGCACGAAGCGAAATATGGTTCATGTATTCTTGTAGAGTGAACTAATCGTTGTTGTTGTTGCTGTTGGCCCAGTGAGTTAGCTGCAGGTACTTAGCATGCGCATGTGCGGGGAGCCGCCACTTGCGGAAGTCGCACCTGCCTTGTCACTTCCTACCTGTAAGCTGCATGTATTCCAACTGCACTTATTACTAGATGCATTAGTTTAGATGATACTTCAGACTCATTCACGCATAAGACAGACGTCACCAAGCGGACGCGCATACATCCGGAACCTTACACAAGTACATCTAAGAAAAGCACTTCCGTTCCAGAACCTACGTCTAGCTACCCCGCATTTATCAATCATGCGACCTCGGCAGTGGTAACAGCACTCTGATACTTCAAGTCCAGCTGCGGTGCTTCTACACCCTTTCCAGGAATATCACTAAGCCCCGCGGGCTCCACATAGTCTTCTTCCTTGTACCCATTAACCTTCAGCCTCAACTTCCGACTTTCGGCGTAAACCACTCTGCGCATTCGGTTGGTACTCCCAAGCGGTTGATGCTCCTTCAACCCATGCCAGCTGTTCACCGTGATGCGATCATCCCACCACGTCCTAAACTCAGGTAGCCACGAGTCCTGCGGCGGGAACTCAATGGTAGCGATTTGTTCAAACGGATATTTCTTGGGGTCCCATTCGATGCCAATGTCGTCGACGGGCTGTTCGGTGAGGTCCTGCAAGAGTTGTGCGCAGAAGCTGTAGGTTATAGTGTTGTTGAGGTGGTGTGTGCGGAGGGTCTGCGAGAGGATATTGATGGGGTCTGAGTCTTTGACTTCGGTGTTCTCAAGGTCCTTTTGGAACTTGCTGTTGGGGAAGACGCCGTATTTGGCTACGTAAGCTCCGTGGCGGTAGGCTGATTGTGAGTACTCGGGCATGGCAACCATGTGTTGTTTCGGCAGTTGTCCACCGAGTGTTGCTACGTCGGCATCAACGCGTTTGCTCTGCTCGTCTGCAAAGGTAGGCAAGTCGTTCCAGTTTCGCTCCAGTGCGTCTGCGATATCGTATGTGGTTTGGGGATCACGCAGCTCCAATACCGGGTAGTTGTTGAAAGTCCAGTCTTGCGTCTTCTTGTCTTCTCCCCAGAGCTTCTCGCCCTCGATACCAAAGACCTTCATGCCAATGCCGCGTGGCGCTGCCAGGTTGTCTGGCAAGATCTTGGGCGTTAGAGACGAGTACCGCATGATTACATCGTAGGTACCGGGCTTTGCGAACATTCCTTGGGCGAGATGTTTAGGTAGATTGTCGTGCACCGTGAATTTGCCCATAACGCACTACCCATGTTATCAGTAAAGTTTATCCCAAGAAGCCTCACGAAATACTTACACCCTGAGTCTTCAAATGCGTGCCTCTCAAACAATGCATATGCTCATTGAAGTTCATCATCTGGAAACGATTGAACTGAGCAGAAACCTCCTTGATCTTCTCTTGCTCATCGTCTGGAATGTTCTCAACACCTGACGCATCCCATTTGATGTATTCACCAGTAGCCTTCTTGTCTTGCCCACCAGCTTTGACGGTGCCGCTCGGTACTTTGCCATTGTGGATATTTTGAATTCGGTGGTACCCCATAGGGCATGTTTCGATCTTAGTTCCACTCATGCTGATGAATTGCTGGTTATGTGTGTAGGTACTCCTTGCTTCGCCGCATGCTGCTACATGGACGGCGGCCTTCTTAAGGCACCAACACAGTCCCCGTGGTCACCCCGCAACTGCATCTAGCTTCCGCCTCGCCGACATCTGCTCTTCTCCATGCTGCAGTCTGAGCGGGATGGCTCGAGAGCATGCGGGGTAGCGCGTCAATGATTCCAGTTCTTCGAGGTGTACGCGTGCGATGGATGGTCGGAAGTTGCTCCGGGAGACCCTTTCCCGTCCGCGTCGTCGATCTAGTCCGCCGCATCTGACCAATGGTTGAAAATGAATTGAAGATCAGGTCTCGAACGCATCTTTCCGGCCCATGATTTGGAAGCGTCATGATCTGTCTCGAGCGAATCGAAATACTTCTGCAAGGCGCTTTCTGCGAACACGAAACACTAGAAGCACGGACGCTTGCAAACACTCGTTGTCAAGCGTCCATTGCTGTATGTAGGTTTACTTTTTGCAAACCCAGGTGTCTAGTCCTTATAGGCCAGAGCAATCGCAAAGCAAGTAGCGCAGTAACTCCGACCAGCTACCACATCTTCCTCCCCAGACCCCCAAACCCCTCCTGCCCAACCTTCCGCCCAGCCAACTCATTCGCAAACTCTAGTTTCCTTTGCAACCCCCACTCCCCATGCTCATTAACCGCAAAAAGCATCCCCGCAATAAAGGTATCCCCAGCCCCAATTGTATCCACAACCTTTGCCGCCTCCTCCCCATCTACCTGCCACGCCTCGACATCCGCCCAAACCTCCTCGTCCCCCTTTTCAACCGCCGTAGCACCTCCAGAACCCCATGTGCAACACAGTAGAGCCCCATCTCTCGTTTCACTCCGTCTGGCTTCAAGAAAGCTTCTCGCATCTTCATACCCATTCTTCACGGCCCACAATTTCGAGTAAAACACTACATCTGCGTACTGCGCCACCTCAGCCATACCCGTCCGCTCAGGCTTCTCGCACTCGACGCTAATCTTGAAATGAGGGAACGTTTCGCGCAGGAAGCGGACACACTGCAGTGTGATCTCTGGGACGCGGCCTTCGAAATGGAACCACGCTTTCTTCCACGTATGTCCTTGTTCCGTACTGAATCTGCGGACTTGGTGGATAAATTCTTCGGCTTGCATCTCGGGGAGCTGGTTGATGCTGACGATTGTGCGGGAACGGTTTTCTTCGCTTTGGATGATGTAGCTCGATGCGGCTTCTTGGTGGTGTTTGCGGAAGAGGCTCACCTCGGATATGTTTACCCCAGGAAGCGATGTAGATATGAATTGAGAAGCCGCAGATTGCTCCTCAGGGAGCACAGCCAGCAGATGCAGGGTTTTGGGGTTGAGACGTGTTCCTTCAGGGTCGTGTTGTTGCAGCTGCGATAACACTTCTAGACTATTTGCCGTATTTCCTCCTCTTCTCCGCGTGAGAGCTTTGGCGCGTAGTTTCTCATCTTCTATGGGGAAGTGTGGGACTCTGAACACTCGAAATTTAGTAAGCTTTTGGTTCTTGGGTTTGTTGCAGAGCGTTGGAACATACGTCAATATGGTGTCGATGTAGACGGCACCAACGCATACAATATGGTTCTCGGTACCTTCGGACATGTTTCAACGCGTGAAGCGGTATGCGCAAATGACCGTGGTGTTGGCAACAGGTGGAGAAGATTCAAATGTGATAAGTTTGATAATGTGGAGCTGGAGTGTTGGAGGTTACGTCAACCTTGGAAGTGTCGCGTGACCCTTCCGGCGCGTTGGCGCGCGGTCACATGTCCGTCAAACGAAAAACACAACTGTGTTAACCAATGGTCGATTAACCAAGATACTCGCTTGTGAGAGATCTGTGCCCAAACAATCAAGTGACATTCCAGAATATTTCACACTACCGTCATCTTACCTTTGGCTATCCAGACCCTGCAGCCCCATAGCCTCTTTGGTAGCATCTGTTTTCTCGGCCTCACCCTTCTCCCTAAGAGCTACCTTCTCTACCTCATCGAAAGCCTTGAGTGCATCGCCATACTGTTCAAAGACACCCTTCCTGTAGCCCTCACAGATCTTCTTGACAAAGCCCTCCTCATTCCATCGCGCCTCAAGGAAATCCTCAAACTTCTCCTGTGGAGACGAACGTTGTACGCCCCAGGCAGCTTTGTACGCGGCTCCGAGAGCGCAAGCATTCCCTCCAATTTCAAGCTTGTATACACCGTCAGAGCCACCAAGAACTTGGCCGGCAAGTTCGGCGATGGCGGGGTTCACGGCACCACCGCCAACCATGTAGATTCTGCGAGGTTGCGCGGGGAGAGAGCCTTGGGGTTCGACAAGGGACTGAGAGCGCAATCTCAAGGACAGGAACTGGGATTCGAGGATTGCACGGGCGTCGGCTTGAGGAACGGGCCAAGATTTGTCCTCAGTCTTGCCTTGGGCAGCTTCTGGTGCTATGGGCGAGAGCTGATTATCTTTGGAAAGAAATCGCCATGTTCCTGCCTTGACGTTTGGTACGATTTCTGGTCGGGGGAAGAAGAGACCTAGACGCATAGGGTCGGAG